GCTAACACGGTGAAACCCCGTCTCCACTAAAAAATACAAAAAAACTAGCCGGGCGAAGTGGCGGGCGCCTGTAGTCCCAGCTACTCGGGAGGCTGAGGCGGGAGAATGGCGTGAACCTGGGAGGCGGAGCTTGCAGTGAGCTGAGATCCGGCCACTGCACTCCAGCCTGGGCGACAGAGCAAGACTCCGTCTCAAAAAAAAAAAAAAAAAGAAAAAGATTTTGCCTCAATGATCCTTTCCAGTTAAAGAGCTAAGGAGAAGAATACACATTACTCAAGAACACTAAAGATCCAACTCGGCGTTCCCCTTCTCTGATGTCGTCCCTGACTTCAGGATGGGGCAAGGTGTCCCCTCCTTCATGTCCATGTGGCACTTTAAGAGTGTACTTATGTCTTCACATGCTCTTCTCCCCACTAGACAGGACTGCATCTCATTTTTTTTTAATTTTAATTTTGCTACCCAGTTAAATTTGAGTTTCATCATTCTTTCCTATATCTGCTGCAACCCAGGTAAGCATTCAAATGGGTACTGAACCAATAAAAACTATCATAGGAATGTAATGCTAGAAAGCATAGCTTTGAGTGGGCAGGAGAAAATGTTCATTAAATAAACACTTGGAAGTAATGGATCAGATGCTCTGGAGACAGGTTAGAGCTAAAACCAAGAAGGGAACATCATTGATGGGTTAGGAAGTGAAGAGGATAAAGGTCTCCTGAGCATGGTGGACCGAGCCAGGAGAAATGGCTTCTCTCCTTTCCTCCATTCCACTTTATCCCTGTGAGCCCTGAAAATCTTAGTTTGAGATATTTAACAAGCATTATATAGGCCTTGCTAACTGACCGGCCCACGGTAAGGTTCATGAGAATAACTAAAAATCTTATTTATAAACATTCCAATCCATGTTAGTGTCAGCTGGTTAGTCTGCCTTGGGCCTCATGGAGGAAGTTTAGTAACTGAAGTTTCTAAAAGGCTTCATTTACTGGCTGTCCCATTTGAAGGGCTATCTGGTATTAATCTCAAGGATGGTGTTTGTATCAGTTTTATTATAATCCTGTCCTTGGCCAGAAAAGGGACCATGTGACACCTTGGGACTGGAAAGGTTATTAGAAAACATCCATTGTTAGGAGTTGAGTGTCCCACATCTGCTGTGAGCCAGGAGTGTGGAACAGAGCAGAGCTCCAGTCCAGGCGAGGACAGACGGTCGTTCCACCCCCTCCACCCACAACTCCAGAGTCAGCCACAGGTTGCAGTAGCTCTGCCTACCATGCGTTCTGTATCAGTGAGAGCTAATCGTAATGCCTAGGAAAGGAAAAGGATAACCTACCTCACTGTAAGTGACAATTCCATCAAACTTTACCTGTAGCCATAATGTCAGAAATTCCGGTGGAATAATATATGTCAATTCACACATAATCCCATGTTTTAGAACTTACAGTAGTGTGTTGGACAGGGAAGTTAAAAACACCTACACTGATTGTGTTCAGTTGGGTTTTGGACCAAGGTGTGTTCATGCAGGATAAAACTGAAGTCCTTGAGTACCTATAGTAGAGAATTTTTTAAATGACACTAACCTATTGCATTAAAACACTGCCTCGAGCAGTAGAATCCCTTTGTCATATTAGCAGTTGTTTGCAGAGGGCTGTGTTTGCATTATCATGTTTATTTGACATAAGTCACAAAAGCTTTTTTCAGCCTAAATGCACAAGACTTTTGGTGACTTCCGTATTAAACCAGCCATCAAGGCCTCCTGTCCCAAATCATGTTGCTATCTTTAAGGAGCAGTAATGAGGGTGCCAAAGTCCCAGAAATCATTTGTTTCAAACAGTTTGAATGCTTTTTCCAGTGCTCAACTCCTGTTTGCTTCACTGGCTGATCTTCCTGAAAAAACTGATATTTAATGTTTTCTGTGAGTAAAGCATAAGGGAGATGGAGAGAATACAGCTGTGGCTTCTAAGATGCGTGTCTTTTAGTTGGGAAATTAATACATATAAAAATGAATAACAACACCAAGGGCTCTGACACGTTCAGAATGGTTGTGTAAGTCCTCTAAGATCACAAGCAGTGAGCAAAATGCATGGGAGTAATAGTCACAGACAGGGCTCAGATAACCTTTGGCGTACACCAATTTAAATAATCTTTCATTCAATGGCAGTGAAAAAAAAGTACTCCAGGCATGGAGCGTAACATTTGGAGGGGGCAAACAAATGATGAAACATATGCATGTATACATAGCTACCTAATACGATGAGAGATTGATGAGTGATGAAGAAGGCCAACAGGAATGCAGTTACTTTAGGTAAGTATGGTCCACCAAGGAAGGCTTTTAAAAGTGAGTGGGAGCAGGCCGTGAGAATTCTACAGGTGTATTAGTTAACCTTGATTGCCAACATCTGAACACCAGGAGATTCTAATGCAAATCAACTACTGGGTTTTCTAGGAAGATGAGAAGAACTGTCTATGTTAGATCCAAATTTCCATGGCCAATTGGAGCAGAGTCATTACTGTGTCTTTCAGAGAGTCCCTGGCCCTCTCTAGCTCACCATCATCTCCACCTCTGCTTTGCCTAACACCCATCTTACTCCTCATTTGCCACTACATTCCATGTTTCTGTAGGTCTTTGGGCTGTGACCTCTACTTTGGAAGAAAATATATTAAACTTTCCTCCAACAGCTATCAGGCCAATCTCCTATGTAAACTTAGATATATACTTCTAAACTACTTTAAAAAATAATCATGGAGACTCTTAACATTATATTAAGTCGTATGTGTTGGTCTCTTTTTCTCAAAGCTATACCAAAATAAGAGTAAAAGGAATAATTGTAAACCCACAGGGTCAGCCCACAAGAGAAGGTAGAGGAGGCATCAGTGGATGAAAAGGTACAGTAATCTGAAAGGTGGAAACTGGTTGGAATGTTGATAAACAAAATCAGTGCAAAGAAAATACAGCCAAAATTCATCCTGGAGAACAACTTCAAAGACTCAAGCTTGCAGACAACAGGTAGGGAGGAAGTGAGGTACAAGACAGGATTGAAAGTGAGGAATTGGTTAAAAGTTGGAGCCTCAGGAAACTTACCCATCCTGAGCAGTCAGATGCCAACCCCTAGCCAAGGCAGGAGAATGGAAGTTTTCCATTATTCTCTGGAAAAATGGAACCATGGAAATTAAGGCCATGGGAACAGTGGGCATGGTGTAGGGCCAGGGTGAGATGCAGGGCTGGAAATGGATTAGGTACAAATTGCTTATTCTGCCATGGTCCTCTGCTCCCCTTTCCCTTAGAACACCAGGACCAGAGCGGTGGGAAGGGAGTGGAAAGTTTATCTGGTATGTTTGGTCATTTGGAAAAGAATATTGATGGGCACCTAACAGGTCCGAGAATGTGTTGCCAAAAAAAAAAAAGATACTTAGAAAATTAAGCAAATAGGCCGGGCGCGGTGGCTCAAGCCTGTGATCCCAGCACTTTGGGGGAGGCCGAGACGGGCGGATCACGAGGTCAGGAGATCGAGACCATCCTGGCTAACACGGTGAAACCCCGTCTCTACTAAAAAATACAGAAAACTAGCCGGGCGAGGTGGCGGGCGCCTATAGTCCCAGCTACTCGGGAGGCTGAGGCAGGAGAATGGCGTGAACCCGGAAGGCGGAGCTTGCAGTGAGCTGAGATCCGGCCACTGCACTCCAGCCTGGGCGGCAGAGCGAGACTCCGTCTCAAAAAAAAAAAATAAATAAAATAAAATTAAGCAAATAGAAAAATGAGGCAGTTGTTAATTCTAGGGAAGACAAAACAAGAAAGCAAATGTAATTCTAATTCACTAGCTGGCTCTGCAGTTAACAATGTACATTTCTAATAAAAATACTGGTTATTGAGTTAATTTAAAATCATAATACAACTTTTGGAATGATGGAGAAAGACACGTATACGTGGTAAGGAAAGGGCAGAGAGATGAAAGAGCTACACTTCATTTCATCCAAAGCAGGAATAAATGTATAAAACATCAAGAAGAAGCCACCAAAGTAAATGTGTGACAGAAAAACATCCACATGCCGAAGTATTTGAAGACAAATTTTCTTAGGAAAAAAGAGGAGGACTGAATATGTGATTGAATAGAGGTGGAAGTGTTAAAAACATGGACGAGGCGATATTTAAAGGGAACGGAGGATGTGGAGATGCAGCAGGCACACAGGCTGCATATGGGGTTTTGGAAGTGGAAGAAGGTTAAGTGTATTCGCTGTGAGGGATAGCAGAACTGCACTTATCCTGAATGCATTCAGGAGCGGGCAGTAAGCAGAAAGGACCCAAATGTATTGTCACAAAGCATGCTATCCACAGGAGCACTTCCCCTGCCCCTTTACCCAGTCACTCTTGGGTACACGTACAGCACTAGCTTTCCCACCGCAGCAAATTTGCAACAGCAGTTGAGATTTTATAAAATTAGAAATTATGGTAGTGGCCAGAAGCGAATGGACTAGCAGCTATAAGAAATGTCAGCTGATGGCCTGACAAGAAGAATCCCCCAAAACCATAAAGCAGACATCGGAACTTGGGCCTTACATCAGTCTTAGGCCATTCAATGTAGAGTCCTTTATATCAGTGGTCCCCAGGCTTTTTGGCACCGGGGACTGGTTTCATGGAAGACAATTTTTCCACGGACTGAGCCTGGCTGGGGGGTGGGGGATGGATGGTTTTGGGATGAAACTGTTTCACCTCAGATCATCAGGCATTACTTAGATTCTCATAAGGAGTGCATAACCTAGATCCCTCGCATGCACAGTTCACAATAGAGTTCACACTCCTATGCGAATCTAATATTGTCACTGATGTGACAGGAGGTGGAGCTTAGGCAGTAATGCTCACCTGCCTCTTAGCTGCTGTGCAACCCTATTTCTAACAAGCAACGAGAGGGTACTACGGGTCCATGGCCCGGGGGCTGGGGACTCTATGCTTTGTATCACTGGTGCTGGCATAGTGTAGTGCCTGATGCTCATGAAGAAGTTTAAGCATGTACTGAGATGAAATCTTTTTTATTTTCAATTTGTTAAATAAGATATGTTCTCAATTTGATATTTTCCATGAAATGATGTTTAAAGAGGCGTTTGAGAATAATCTCAAAATAATCAATACCCCAAAACATGCTTTAGTTTTGTTTAAAAGGGTAAAAATCCTTTGGGATACTTAGCTATCCAAAGTGTCTGTTTTTGGAAGTTTTTCCTCTTGAAGAGTCTGTCTGCAGGGATGATGAAAACAAGGCAAGGAAGAGAAAAGAAGGTAATTTCCCATAGGTAAGTTCTAGTGGGGGAAAAGAAGTCGCATTACTTAGTGGAAGCCTTCAAAATTTATCAAGGGTTCAAAGTAGATGCCTCGGATTGTGAGTTTCTGAGAGAGATGCTTCTAGCTGTTTGTAACCCCTTAAGGAGAGGGGGAAGAGCCTAAGAGCAGGGAAGACTTGGAACGAATATTCTCGAAGCTCAGGTGCCCCATCCTAAGCTTTGTTTCTGATGAGAAGCTGTGGCAATGGAAAGAGAAGGGCAGAGCACACCGGATGTGAGATGTGAAGAGTTAAAAGATGTTATTGGGGGCCAGAACCCAAAACAGTCATACTGGCAGCTGATGGTGATGGTGTGCTAGTCACCCCGACTATTAGCTCTAGGATCAGAATGCTCAGTGACATTTCTGAGTGGGGCTTAGTTTGGGAGGGGTTTGCTGCTGACAAAGCTGGATGGAGTCAGAATTAGGGAGAGCTGATGAGATACAGAATATTGTCCAGAATGAGAAACAGACTGCATTGCCTTCCCTGCCCTCATCCTTCTTCACCCTGGGACTGTCCGCTGGGCAGTGCCTGTCAAGCTTAGCTTCTACTTGGCTGCCCCAACTCAGGGTCATCCTGTGCCTGGCCAACACAACTTTTCTAAGTACATCTTTTTCTTCAAAAGTTTACAAATGAGTAACATTACAGAAAATTGTTTATTAAAATTTTATGGAGTCTAATTGTCAGAAAAATCTCCATTGTATGACCTAATAGCACATATATGTATGTAACTGAAACCCTCAATATTTTGCTGACATCAGTAATGATAAGTTAATAAATATATCTCAGCTATCCAAACAATACAGTGGCTCAAGTTAATCCAGTCTTCAAGAATAATTTTCTCTTTTCCATTCCAATCATTTTGTTCTTCTCCCACCGACACTAATAAACTAGGAGGCCTTTGTGGCCGGGTCAGGGTAAATGTGGTTTCAAACAGACTCGAACTCTCTTTGCCAGGCTGAGTATCTCTGAGCCAGATTCTTTGCGGAGGGCTTGGTATGAGTTAGCACATCCAGAAAGTCGGCAGTGGTTAGTGTATCCAACTGGATCCCCGGTAAGTCGCTGCTTTCTAGGATAAGAACACAACAGTAACAGCACAACAATCGACCTCTTGGTGATCAATGCTCTTGAAACGCTAATAGACCTTCTTTCAAGACAATGCATAATGCAGCATTCTTAATTGTTAATGCAGCAAAAGGCAAGACTAAAGAGGGCTGGGGAAAAATTCTTTAATGTGCAACTGAGTTAGCCCCTAAGGCCTAGACAAAAAAAAATGTGACTTAAATGTATTGTTACCAAGTATTATTTAATATTTATATAGTGCCTCAAATGGATCCAGCCCAACATCAGAGTGTGCCAGAGAAATAAAAGCCTGAGCCCTAAGGAGTTTATCTTCTGTGAGCAAAGTCGATCTGAATCAGAACACCCACAGAGGAATGAGTTGAGTGAGGGATGAGTTGACCAAAAAACGTGTTGCAAGTGTAAAGCGGCACCAAGAACAGGCACCAGGCTCCATCTGCTGGTGAGAGGGATTTTTACACAAATTTCCCAGAACACCTTCACAGTGATCCAACCCATACCTGACTGGTGATTTTCAAGTGCATCAAAGATCTTCCTCACGGGCCGCATGGCTGCTTCCCTGCAGACGAGCTTAATGTCTGAGCCTGAGTAGCCCTCAGTCTCCTGAAACAGCCACAAAAAACAGCCATTGGTCAGTGGACAGAATGCCCCTGACCATTACATTGTTATAGGCAGGACCCAGTATCAGAAGTCCTGTGTAGATTCTGTATCTGTCACCCATGAACACCCTAAAAAGATTCCCAGATAAACAGTGCTTGAGGCAGAGACCCTGCTAGCATGCTGGGATAACCTAAGCAGCTGGGCTAGAAGGGCTTTCTAACACTATCAAAATATGCTGTAAGATGCCAGTAAAGGACCAGAACACCCAAGTTGGGCTATCGGGGTCCCTGTGCTCAAATCCAAGGATGTTCAAATTTGGTAGGCACGTTTATTCTTGTAAATAAGATCATACCTGCCATTTAGGAGCCTCAGAGAATATTGTGTTCAAATGTTCACCAAAAGCAGGCAACATTTCTACAACACCCTGGGAATGGACACCAGTGATAATGTGCATAATAGACATGTACCTGGAGCTTTTCTGTTATGTAATCATCACAGTCATTCTTTGTGGCTCATCTGCTACCCATTTTACAGATGAAGAAACTGAGGCTTAAAGAGTAAGTGACTTCCCTGAGGTCACACAGCTAACAAGCAGCAGGGGCAGGATTTGACCATAGGTTTTCTGAGTCTAAACCCTATGCTGTTTCCACTGCCTCACACTGTTTCTCCCTCTCTGAATATTTTTAAGTGACAAGGAGCTTATTCTTCCATGAAGATGCCCATTGCATTATAGGGGCAGCTTTGATCTTATTCTAAGTGTCTTAAGCTTCTGTCAGCTCATGGTAAGACCTGGTCTACAAGATGGCCATGTGGTGAGCCCTTGACCTACATGTGCCCCTCTCTAGGGCAGCTGACCTGGCTCAGCACACTGTACTCCAGCTCTGTGCGCAGCTCCAAGGCCCTGCTCTTGCTCACAGGAGGCAGCCAGTGGTAGATCATGGCCTGCCTGGCCTCCCGGCTGGGGAGATCAACCAGAATCCTCTTCTCCAGGCGGCGTAACATGGCACAGTCCAGCTCCCTAAAATCACACCAGAAATGGAGCTGGACAGGGCTGCAAACACACTTCCTGAACAACAACTGTACTTTAAGAACAATTTAGCATTGCAGGAAGCAATTCTGCATTTTAACTCTCACTCTACATCTATGCCTTGAGTGGATGGGACAATTACTTAATATTATTTGGAGAAAGAATTGGTGAGAGAGAGAAGTGAGGGAGGGAAGGAAGGGAAGAGAAGGAGGAAAGCGGAAAGGAAGGAGAAGAAAGAGCAGGAAGGAATGGAAGGGAGGAAAGCAGAAAGGAAGGAAAAGAAAGAAGGAAGGAAGGAAGGAAAGAAGGATAAATGGAAGAAAAGAAAAAGAACACATCCTCAGAACTCCTAATGAAAAGGAAGTAATTTTAGGTGACTTAATTTGGGGTACAAAAACCAACTAACAACCAGCAATCATGAGTATTCTCATTGCAGTTGTAACATGAATTATTCAATCCGATCTTGCCAGTGAGTAAATTATTGCTGACAATAACTTGAGCACTCTAAGTACATTAATTCTTCCAAAATTCTCAGTCCTTCTGGCGTGAATGACCCTCTCACTTCATTACATTGGTGAACTTAGCACCAGTGGCCCTTCCTGGGTGCCCAATGCAAATACAGCCCTTTCAGACACTCACTTTTACTACTCCCCAAACTGTCAGGCCAAGTTTATGTGATTTTGCATCTGCAGGCCATATCCTTAAACTTCTTGATATGGTTTGGCTCTGTGTCCCCACCCAAATCTCATTTTAAATTGTAATCGCATAGTTCCCACATGTTGTGGGAGGGACCCAGTGGGAGATAATTTGAATCATGGGGGCAATTTCCCCCATGCATACTCTTCTCATGGTAGTGAATAAGTCTCACAAGATCTGATGGTTTTATCAGGGGTTTCCGCTTTTTGCATCTTCCTCATTTTTCTTGCTGCCACCGTGTAAGAAGTGCCTTTTGCCCCCTGCCGTGATTCTGAGGCTCCCCATCCATGTGAAACTGTAAGTCCGATTAATTTTTTTTCTTCCCAGTCTTGGGTATGTCTTCACCAGCAGCATGAAAATGGACTAATACACTTCTTTTTTTATTTTTATTATTATTATTTTTTGAGACAGAGTCTCGCTCTGTCGCCAGGCTGGAGTGCAATGGCTTTCAAACTAATATAAAAGTAGAATAAAACAATTGAACATCCATATACATACCATCTTGATTCGACACCAGTATTCTGCCATATCTGCTTCGTATCTCTTTATCTACCTATTCTTGCTAAATTATTTCAAAGTAATTTATATCGTGACACCTCATCCCTAAGTATTTTAGCATGCATTTCCAAAGAAAGGCATTTGCTTACGTAGCCACAATATCACTATGACACCTGGCAAAACTGATTCTGTAATGTGTCTAATGCTCAGTCTATATTCAGATTTCTCCAATCAGGGTGGAGGGTGGGAGGAGGGAGAGGATCAGGAAAAACAACTAATGGGTACTAGGCTTAGTATCTGAGTGTAGGTGACACAAGTTCACCTATACAACAAACCTGCACATGTGCCCCTGAGCTTAAATAAAAGTTAAAAAAATTTCTCCAACCGTCCCCAAAATATCTTCCATCATTTTCTGACAAAATCCAGTGAAGAAATATGCATTATGTATGGTTATGTCTCTTAAATCTCTTTTAATCTAGGTCAGCCTGCTTGCCCTAGACCCTTTTTGAAAAAACAGGGCCAGCTGGAGAATGTCCCACATTCTGAATTTGTCTGATGCTTTCCTTGTGATATCATGAAACTGGTTCCTCTATTCCCTGTCTCTAAGAGGGAAGTTAGTTCTAAAAGCTTAATGAGATTTAGGGTAAATATTTTTTGGCAAGCATATTACATAGATGATGTTGTGTTTTCATATTCATCAGGATCCACACGTCTGTGTGTCTCACTGTCAGTGTGGTGTTTGATTTTCTGGTGGCCATGGAACTCTCCATTGTAAAGAAAAATATCTTTTCTCAGCAAGTAGTAAGTATTCTGTGTACAATACTTTGACACCATAGGAATGCCCAATTCCTTATACCCTTTCAACTAATGGTTTTAGCATCTGTTGATGATCTTTGTGTGAATCAGCTATTTCACTAGAGGTTGCAAATGCTGATTAAACACACACCCACATACACACACACAGTTAGATTTTTTTTTTTTTTTTAGCCAGGGTCTTCCTCTGTCGCCCAGGCTGGAGTGCAGTGGTGCCCTCTCAGCTCACTGCCTCCTCCACCTCTTGGACTCAAGCGATCCTTCTGTCTCAGCCCCCCAAGCAGCTGGGACTACAGGTGCGAGCCCGGCTAATTTTTGTATTTTTTGGACGCAGTTTCACCATGTTAGCCAGGCTGGTCCTGAACTACTGAGCTCAAACAGTCCACCCGCCTCAGCCTCCCAAAGTGCTAGGATTACAGGTGTGAGCCACCATGCCCGGTCTGGATTTTTCATTCCAAATACATTATTTGGAGTTATTATGAAATCACATAGCACTATTATGTAAAGCAGAGCTTTCCCTCATCAGCTGAGACTATTTGGTTACTCTAAATTACCAGTCCTGTTATCAATAGATCATCTTGAGTGTGTGTCTGTGAACTGTTTATTTGATTTTCTAGGATAGAAATGAGGAAATTCCTGTATGTTAGCCTTAGCCTAACCATTGATAAAGAGTAGCAACGAGCTGGGTGTGTTGGCTAATGCCTGTAATCCCAGCCCTTGGGGAAGCTGAAGTAGAAGATTTGCTGACTATGCTGGGCAACATAGTGACAGCCCGTCTCTGCACAATATAAATAAAATTAGCCGGGTGTGGTGATGCACGCCTGTAGTCTCAGCTACTTGGGAGGCTGAGGTAGGAGAGTCACCTGAGCCCAGGAAGCCGAGGCTGTAGTGAGCTGAGATCACACTACTGCACTCCAGCCTGAGTGACAGAAATAATTTTTTTTTTAAATAAAATAAAATTTTAAATATTTTTTTTAAAAAGAGTAACAATGAAAACATCACCAGGTATTTCTCATTCATAAAAACACTGAGAATTTCCAAACTGTCTTCCCATTTTTTCTTATTCTCATTCTGAATCTATGTTACAATATTTCCTTTTAAATTGAAAACACTTCCAGGGAACATATCTGAATCCTAAATCACAGCAACCAGATTTCTTTAAGGAGTGTGCCTTTGCCTCTCCTGTTGTTTGTCTAACCCTGAACTGAGAATCCATAGTCCAGGGGTGCCTTACTGACAGTAACAATGACCTATTTCTTTTTTGCATTTGCTTTGTTCTTCTATCAGTCTCACCCTGTTGACATTCATCTCACATCAGAGACTCAGCCACCTCTTCCCTCGCACAATTATTCCCCCTCTCAAGGCACATTTATATTCAAGACACAGGGTCAAGGAAAAGAAAAAAACCGCGCTTCACAGCAGAACTTTGCCTAGCACTCCAATTGAGGATGTGCTCATCTTTGCTTCAAATGGTTTCTTCCTTGTTCATACTCAGCAATAATATGCAGCCAGCAGGCAGCAAGAATGATGCTGTTTTTCTTGATTGGTAAGCACCCACACCACACCAGTTGTTTAATATTTTTAATATCACCCCTGCATATAAGCCACAAAAATATGTTATCCTTCATACCCAAGGAGGTTCCATCAGAAGGCTGTCTGTGCTACTAAGGTTGAAATAAAAACACTGTATTAGTCCATTCTCACAATGCTATGAAGAAATATTTGGGACTAGGTAATTTATAAGGAAAGGGGTTTAATTGACTCACAGTTCCACATGACTGGGGAGGCCTCAAGAAACTGACAATCATGGTGGAAGGCAAAGGAGAGAAGCAGGCATCTTCTTTACAGGGTGGCAGGACAGAGTGAGCACTTATAAAACCATCGAGGTGCAGTGAGATCTCATGACAACAGCATGAGGGAAACCGCCCCCATGATTCAATTATCTCCACCTGGTTCCGCCCTTGACAGGTGGGGATTATGAGGATTATAATTGAAGATGAATTTTGGGTGGGGACCAGCCAAACCATATTACACTTCATTGTTGATGAACTTTAACTAAGACTGCACTTAAATTTGGGGATAAACAGAATCACTTCTGCTTCCTCCTACTAAACACCACTGAAAGAGTTTTTGAATGGCATAAACCCACAAAAGCAAACAGAATTGGAGAACTGATTGAAGCAAAGATATGAAAGCTGGGAAGCATAATGATGAGTAAAAGAAACTTAGTAGAACTGAGAAGCTGCTTTCTAAATCAGCAGTAAGGTATGTCAGGAAATAATCTGAGTCACAGAAACCCCAAGAGATGTGGCAGTATCTTCTACCTTTAGAGGTGAGGGTGAGGGTGGGTTGAAAATAGGGGGTTTGATTGCCAATTTGTATATTAAAAAAAATTAGATCACAGATTTTCTCCCCCTCCAAAAGTAGGGGAACTGCCTCTCCCATACCTTGGCAGAGGGTAAAATGGAGAGTCTCCAAGCTGGGAAACACCAGGCTCAGTTGAAAACAGTGTACTGTATTGAAACAAGGAGATACTGACTATCCCTAGACTATTAGCAAAGCTTTTGCCCTCCAGGCAGGAGATTGCAAAAATCGTCACTTGGCAATCTGACCAGCCAAAGAGAAAGACCCTAAGGATACTGATATTGGGAGTTCCCCAACACAATAACCCAGTCAAATCTCAGCACATGGAGCCCACAGTTGGCAAGCCTTTCCCATGTGCACAGAGCTTCCTGTGGGTTTTGTTAATGTGCCCCTCTCATAAACATTAGGCAGCCAAGAAGACCTACATCTGTGGAACTCTTCTAACTTGAAGACAGAACCCAACACAAATAAATGGGGAAAATTAAGAGAATCTTGGAGAAAACAGAATTCTTCAGGGAAATGAAACTTCAAAAATTAGTATTCTCAGAGAGATGTAAGAAAATATTGCCATGAAACAAGAAGAGTATCTTAGTCCATTTTGAACTGCTATAACAAAATAC